AATTGTTATGCTCGGTGTTTCAAATTGGCAATACTAATTGTAGAAAACAAAGTATTCAAATTTGCAAGTTGAAAAGTTTGGGAATTGTTTCTCTATGATAGACTTAAGAGAGAGAGAGAGCACTCATATTTCGTTTCAAATCTAAAAGTTTAGATTGAAGGATTTAATGGAACTTAGTCTTGGACATATATGAATATCGTGTTGAAATGATTCAACATGGGAAATTCAATATATGAAAATATTATAGTAAGAGACTGAACAAATATCAAGTCTTTGTGTAAGACATAATGAATCGAGTCCCATATGCTTCAGATATAGGATCGTTTTCATATGCTATAATATTCACTTGTTCTGATTTTTCCAAATACTTTGGGCATTGAGAGGGAAAAAGGACTAGAACTTTATGTGACTAAAGTTGTTAAAAAACTAGAAAGATCAGTCTGAGGTTTACCAAAAAATTGATTGCTTGTGGATAATTGGAAGTATAGTAGTATTTGGACAGACCATATTGATATAATTCTGGGTGGAGGTGATTCTTATTCAGAATAAATGGTCATATGAGAATATGGAAATGTTTCCATAGTAGGAATTGATTATTGAAATCTACATGTGAGTTAGGAACTTTAATGCAAGGAAGGTGTTCAAGGAGTGTATCTTGAATTTGAAACGACATTACCATGGAATTGTTTTAAGTAACAAAGTTTCAATGAAAAATTTTGTAATATCATTGGCTAAGTCTCGACGGATTTGACGCCACGACGTCACAAAAGGAAAATGCATGTAAGGTTGGAATTCTAACACATTTAGAGGTGACAAGAATTTAGAGTAGTGAAATGAGCATCATTGGAATAGTGTCTAGTCGATCTGTTTATAAAGGAAGGATCATAGAGAAACATAGTATGCATGTTCATAACATGGCATGACTGATGTTTGATTCAGGTGTTTAGTTGATTACTCGAAACATTATACAATGAATAAAGTCTAAATTAATATGGTGATTAAATAATAAGAGTTTTATTTATATTCAATAGTTTTGAGACCATAGTTAATTAGGTTATTATTGTGTTTCACTTTGCATGTTTTACTTCCTGAATAATTTGATTATTCGAAATTCCACAGTCGCTTGTACTTTTGGAAGTAAGTAGCGAATTAAGACTGTTGTGAGCTGGATTGTAGATTGTCTATGGAAATTAGACATATCAATAGTTTTTCCTGCAATGTTCATGAGTACTTGGAAAATGGGGATTTTAAGTATTGGATAAATCCACGCTCAGAGAATTACTTCATGAATTTTATCACGAGTAATTTTGAGACGACAATATCTTATATTCTTGAAACAGAGATATATGAGTTGTTGTTTACAAGTCAGTTATGCATTGATAATACGTAAACGCATCAGTAACTTGATGTTATAAAACGTATTGTTGTGTGTGATTTGATGAGTAAATAGTACAAGCATATAATTCAAAGTTTATTCGTTCTTTTTGCCCTAATGGGAAAAGCGATATCCGTGGGCCCCTCGATGATTTGATGTCGACATCTAAAGTGCTTGGCCAAGCCTGGACTAAGTTGATGTGTTCAATTAGCAGTTTGAATCAGTCGTCATAAATTGGGAAATCGGGAAACAAAACTTGGGAAATGAAATTGATTATAATCCATGTCTCATGTCCGTATGATATCTTGTAGAACGAAGGAATATTTGATCACTTATCTTTGTACATGTAACTGACTGGGTCAGAGTTCGACAACAGCTTTTGAGAGCTACAATTTGCTAATTAGTTTTTGAAGTTATACTGGCAACTATAGTTATTAGACTTATCCAAGTGGGAGACTGTTGGATTAGGTGTCTAAGCCCATAACTATAATCGGTATATACTTAAATTGATAGTAACACAATCCTTTTGGGTTGCCCTCAAAACTAACAACTGGACAGGATGACTTTTGGAGAGAGAGGTTGAATTTATTATTTGATTAATAAATTGAAATAAATAATTTGTTAATATATTATGAGAATAATATATTAATTAGAAATAGCAATATTTAATTAATATTTAATCAGAAATTAATTGGAATTAATTTTGGGATTAAAAGAATTAATTAAAAGTGTAGGGGTTAAAGTGTAATTGTTCAATACTTGAGCAAGAGGTTCCAGAACCTTCCTAGGGAAGGGGGTGGACGGTTTTATGAGATTATTCTAGAGTTTCTAGAATATCTCATGTGGATAATTACCAAATTTGAGATATTATTATTATATTCAGATAATGCTTATCCTGGGCATCCTTGTTGCACTATATAAAGGGCTCCTCACCCTAGGAATTTCTGCCACCATATCTTAAGAAGAGAAAACCGGAAATTTGCTCTGCCCTTCTCCTCTCTCATCCTCTTACTAGTGTTAGGTGTGAACCATTAGTGGCACGACATTTGTGGTGCTTGCTCTGTAAGCTTCAACAACACAAGGGTTTATTGTTATTCATCAATAACAATCAAATGTATGTTTTCTAACCCTAGATGCTTATTTCAAAAATAGTATAGGATTCCTAGGGTTTCCCAATTGATGTTCAAATGTTGTATGTTCAATTAGAGAAAACATAGATCAAGAATTAGGGTTGCATGCACATATAAATTTTTGTTTGTTATGCTCAAAACCCATCAAAGATTTCTTCCTACCCTATGATGAACACATTAAATGGAGAAGATAAAATGGTAGCTGAGTTTACTATAAATAAAGCTTCTAACATCAGTTGTAATGCACCCAAAACTCAATGAGTTAGATAGTATAAGACTAGAGTGAAAGTGTTAGTGAGAGGGTTGATTTTTTATAATAGTTGAATATGAGAGTTGCTCCTCCTATTATAATTCTATTTTCGTGTTTAATAGAAGAGTTTTTCAACCACAACACTAAACTCTTATATTTCCAGCTTAGAGAGTGTATCTAACATAAAATGCCACATAAAATGGTCACCTTAATCGGAACATATTATTCAATCTTGTAATAGCACCTGACCGGTAACCGATAAGCATCTATATACCTCCTAAACGAGTTTATAGAAAAAAAATATCACTCGAATCTAACTTCCAAGTCCATTTATGAGATTGAAGTACCCAACAGGCCAACAATAAAATATTTATACCAAAAAAAGGGATAATGACTTAAAAGGGTAACATATTATTCGATTTGTACACATTTGGTCACTGAGGTTTTTTTTCGTCCACATTTACCCCTTAAACTTGTTAAACTGTACACATTCAGTCCTTATGACCTGTTACTCCAGGTTAGCCGGGAAAAATGACTTGATAGAGTAATATATTGTTCATTTTGTACACATTTAGTCCTTAATATTTTTGTACATATTTAGTCCTTAACATTTTTTTTGTTTCAAAATAAGTCCTTTTTTTGTACTCATTCAGTACTTATGAATGATTTCTTTAAGTTTTTTTTCACGACATCTTACGTGAGACAATCATTGATGAGGTGCTTGGGGTTGTTGATGCTTATGTCCAATGCGATCTCGACTGTTTTGTTGCGTAAGTCTTGTGGTTTGGCTTAGGTCTTGTATTTTGAACATCGTAACTTCTTCATACGATATCAGATTTTAAGGATCTTTATCCACGTGTTCATTTTTTTGAGTCTACTACAACTTTCCTTAAGATTACTCCCGTTAAAATGTAATATATTTTTACTAACGATTTTATAAAAAAAACATACATACATGCATTCATAAAAAACGTATGGACATGGGAAGACGCAATAATACATAGTAGTTGTTGCCGAGATGAAATAGGTGTTGCCGATACATGGAAAATAGATATAAACGTAAAAAAAAACGAAAAATTTTCCACTGCGAACAGAAAAAACAGGTGTTGTCGGTGCAACACCGGGACCATACTAAATCCGCCACCGCGTATGGATATAAAAATCGTAAGTAAAAATTATATTATTTTTTAATGGGAGTAATCTAAATGAAAGTTGTAGTAGACTAAAATACGAACACAAGGATATAAAGATCGTTAAAATCCGAGATCATATGAAGAAGTTATGACGTTCAGAACACATGACCTAAGCAACTAAGTAGTCGAGATCGCGATGATTATAAGCATCAAAAGCACCATACACCTTATTAATGAATGTACCACGTAAGATTTCGTGAGAAAAAACTAAAAAATCATTCATAAGTACTAAATGAGTACAAAAAAATGACTTATTTTGCAAAAAAAAAAAAAGAGGACTAAATGTGTACAAAAATATTAAGGACTAAATGTGTACAAAGTGAGAAATATATTACCCTATTAAGTCATTTTTACCGGGTAACCTGGAGTAGCCGGTCATAAGGACTGAATGTATACAGTTTAACAAGTTGAAAGGGTAAATGTGGACGGACAAAAAAACTCAATGACCAAATATGTACAAATCAAAAAATATATTACCATTTTAAGTCATTATCCAAAAAAAATAAATTATGAGCCCTTTTAGTTTCGCATGGGCCTACGAAAATGACACATAACTTGCGTTGTTTTGTACTTTTACAAATTACACTAATTTGGTATTATTCGCAAATGTCTCTAAAAACTTAATGATAATTTGGGTCTTTTGTTAAAATTGTTTAATGTTTGGAACAAACTTATAAGATTTGTTAAAATTTGTCTTTTTATCTTTAAAAAAATTTATTTCTTAATCGTCTTTTGTTAAATAATTTTTAGTTTTTCTATAAACGCTTAATCATCGTTGAACTTTATATTTGTTAAACGTGATATTCCAATGTCGAAGTTTAATCAGTAGTTAACAAAAAAAAATATTACAACGACAATCACACAAACTACAATCGAAAACCAACAAGAAGCAAAACCACTGAACCACAAGCCATTTGGTAGCAAATGACAAATTGAATTCCAATTTGTTCGTCGATTTTATAATGCTCAAAACTAAAATTAAAGCTTGCATCATCGCTTCCGTCATATGTACAGCTTATCTTCCATATCGTACAACTACTTGGAGCGTAAGTCTCGGGAATTGGTGTGAGAACTGATTATACGATATTAAACAGCCAACAACCATGGCTAGTATTTATACCGATCGAAACACATAACAATCCTTACATCCAGAAATTCATTAAGCCTGAAATTAGGTGGTGCTGTTTCAATCAAATCATTGGAAAATGGCGGATGAAGTGAAGTTGTATGGCGCTGGAGGAAGCCCATTCGTTTGCAGAGTTAAAATCGCTTTGAAGATGAAGGAAATCAAGTACGAAAACATCGAAGAAGATATGAGCAACAAGAGTGCCGACCTTTTGAAGTACAATCCTGTTCATAAGAAAGTGCCTGTGCTGGTGCATAACGGAAATCCGATCGCAGAGTCTCTTGTGATCGTGGAGTACATCGATGATGTCTGGAAAGGGGTTCCGATTTTGCCTCAGAATGCTTATGAGAAGGCTGTTGCTCGATTTTGGGCCAAATTCGTTGATGATAAGGTAATAATTTCAATTCCTTCTCTCCTAAACCTAATGATGAAATTATAAATTACATTAAGGCATTGTTTAATGAGTTTACATGATTATATGGTTTGTTCAGTGTATGCCTGCGGCATTCAAGGTTTTTGGCAGCAATGGAGATAAGCAGGTCATTGCGGAAGCTTGTGAGCAACTTCAAATGCTAGAAAATGAACTGAAAGTCAAAGGTACCAAGTTTTTTGGAGGTGACAACATTAACCTGGTTGATATTGCTGCTGATTTCATAGCCTATTGGCTTGGAATAATCGAAGAAGCAACTGAAATAAAGTTTTTCACCAAAGACAAGTTTCCAAAACTCACAGAATGGGCTGATGAGTTTGTCAAGTGTGAAGTTGTGAAGGAAACCTTACCTCCAAGAGGGAACATGGTTGCATTTTTCAAGAAACGGTTTGGTAAGGCGTAATTAAACTAATGGTACGTATGCTAACAACATATATAGTTATAAATTTTGTTGTTTAATTTGTGGTTATTGAAGTTGAAATTTCTGTAACATTTTTATGTTGCTGCAAATTTGCAATAAGCAGCTCTTATATGCGGATGAGTTTTTGTAATATGCTTATGTTGTGATTTTTAGAATATAAATACCACTGATCGTTGAGATATTGTTGGCTAGTGTGTATCATTGTTTGATTTGAGATTTGATTTTCGTATGCATAATTTAATTATTATTAGGTTAAACTTGTATGCAAGAGCAATGTCATTTTATTACTTTTACTATATGAAACATATTTTTAAAATATACTGAACACAATTACTTAAAATAGAAATTGATTTGTTGATAATTGAATCCTTATGTGGTAATTGAATACTTTATTTAGTTATAAGAGTAAATTACACGATTTGTTTCTCGTCTAAGTGTCAAATTATACATTTAGTCTTTATTTTTAAAAATTAATTCGGATCGTTCCTATAATATTTTTTTTCTCACCCGGACCGTCCCTTGCAACCATAAAAAGACTATTTTACCATTTTTATTTATTTTTTGATATATTTTTTGATTTGTTTGTTATTTACAATTTAAAAGAAAAACAAAAAATAAAGAAAAACAAAAAATAAGCCCACCACCATTTTTGAGTCTATCTCAAAATGACCTAGCACATAGGTTTGAGCTAGATGAAATAGTTTATATTCTATTTTATTGGCAAATGAATCCATCATTTTTGTCATATTATGCATAAGACTAAGTATATGATTATGTTATGAACATGTCGTGAGATGCAAATTGAATACATGATTAAGTCACTGGATGACTATAAGAATATTCTAAGAGTACTTAAGAAGAACTAAGAGAATGTTCATGAGATAATCAGTTTGGAAGAAGATCTTTATGTAAAAAGCTACATAAGATGCTAACTTCAAAACAAATATAAATAATTATGAATTATAATTGGATTATGACTTCATTATGAAATGAAAAGTAAGTTTTGTAGGAATGAGGTCCAAGCAAAACATAATTGTACAATCTACTAAATAAGAATATACTAATTCTGACATCCCCATTTTCACGGCCAGAAAAAACCGATTTGTTTATGCTTCATTTTTAAAATCAGAGTATACTTTTAAAGAAAAGTGTTGCGGAATTTTGTTATCAGAAAAAAAATGATAAAAATGTTATCAAAGCATTTTCGAAAAAATGTATTTTATTCTTTTTAAAACTTTGGGATGTCAACGTCAATACAGAAACATAAGCATAAACAGAACTTACATTCATTTACACTAGTGATCTACATCTCTTTAATCTCTCAGTGTAGTGTAGCTTTATATCGACACCTGTGATACAAATAAACTGAGTGGGTCAGGTTGGGAAACCTGGTGAGTACATAGGGTTTTCAGCCCACAATAATAAAGTTATTATGTTTTATCATCAAACAATTAACCAAATTACCCATCCCCATTATCTTCTTTATTCCTTAATGATCTACCCTAAGAATCATCTATCACTCATTCCTAAGGATTTTCCTAAGGAATAGGCACAAAGTCCATCGTCGCCAGGGTTTATACAACATACACTAAATCCATAGTTGTCAGGGTTCATCCAACGGGTGCTAAGTCCATAGCTCTCATTTATCGACATTATTATTTGCGGGAGTCCACCTGCAATACATGTCAATGGGTTTTTAGAGTACACCGGGTGAACATATCGTTCACAACACCTACAGGTAGCGAGCCTGTTAGTGTTCCACGGACCGTCTAGAATAGTCCATGGTTCTCATCCATACTCTGCTAGATGACGGGGACAACGTTTGGGTACAGGTTTCTCTCATTTTTCACCCCTCACCCTCATCTCATGATCTATATCACTTTTTCATCTCATCCTCCAACTCATCTTTCATCACACATTAACTATTTCATCTACACATGTTCTACCCAACATATTTGTAGATATAAAATACATATACAGTTCAGATCTGAAGAAAAGTTTAGATCAGAAAAGAAAATAAATATACGGTTCAGATCTGAAGAAAAAGTTTAGATCAGAAAAGATAATACATATACGGTTCAGATATAAAGAAAAATGTCTAGATCTAAAAAACAAAGTTTAAATCTTTCATCCAGCATAGGTCTCAAGTATAAAATACATATACGGTTTAGATCTGAAGAAGAAAGTTTAAATCTGAAAAGAAAAGGTTCAGATCTGAAAAGAAAAAGTTTGGATCTTCCATCCAGCACAGATCTCAAGTAAACAGATAATATATATACACATAACACGTAAATTATATAAAATACTTCATATCTATGTGTAAGATGAAAGTACCTATGCACTTACTTATTAGGGTGGTGATTCCAACTTGAACAACGCTTCACTTTTAAAAAATATGATTTCCTTTGAGGAAACCGGGAGGTTTGCTTGAAAACCGGGCTCTGAGGGGGCAAAGTTTCCAAACCGAAAAACTCTTTTTCTTGGAGCCTTCGGGTGCTCCGGGGCTTTCTTCTAGTGCTAGGGAGATTTCCTAGGCTTCGGGGGTGTTTTGGAAGGCTAGAGAGAGAGTAGAGGGAGAAAAAGAAGTTGGAAAGGTGTGAAAAATGAGCTGCCTTCGCAGCCCTTTTATAGCCGTGCGAGGCCTCGGTACGCTGGGCGTACCTCGGACCTACGCGGGGCGTAAGGGGGCACGCGTCGGTCATCGACTGGAGCTTCGTGGCTTATCTCAGACCGTAGAAAAAGTCAAACCGCGGAGCGTTCGGTCTTCGTACGCGAGGCGTACTCCGGTACGCTTGGCGTCCGAGGATACGTTGGGCGTACCCCTCGCACCCAGCTCGCAATTTTCCATCCCGACTTAAAAAATTCATAACTTTAGCTTACGAACTTCGCTTTCGACGTTCTTTATATCCACGCGTAGGCGGGACCGTACTCTACAACTTTTGTTTAGACTCCGTTAGCTAATTTTGACTTTATTTTTAAAGTTATATTTTTAACAGGCCGGGACAGGAAAAGTCTGTTAAAATTTCATAACTTCTTCATCCGACGTCCGTTTTCATCTGTCTTTTTACCGTTGCGATACTAATAATGATATATTCAATTCTCATTTAGGTTGCGTTGGCCAAAATCCGCTCGATCTAAAATTCGAATTCCGGGATGTGCACTGCTATGCCAAATCTTAGAAAGATCATAACTTCCTCATACGAAGTCAGATTTGGGCGTTCTTTTTATACACGCCCTCGGTTTAACGAACACTACGACTTTCGTTTAGATCGCTAAGGCTAAAAAGTCCTATATCGCAAATTCACTATTTACGTCTCACAGTGTCGTGCCTGTTCTGTCGCAAAACTTCGACATGTCATAATGTCTTCGTTATAAATCGGATTTCGGCGTTCTTTATATCTCCAGAATCCCTGTCACGACCACTACAACTTTCTTCATCGATATCATGCTTATCTAACATTTTATTTTTGACGCTTATTGTCATTCTTAATTTATTATATCATTATAAACAAGTGTATAATCACATAAAAGCACATAATTCACATAATATTCAAGTAATTCGTCTTTCATACTTTAAAATAGGTTACAACGGTTGACCAAGATTATTACATCACCGCATCAATGCTTAACCTTGAAACACGGGCGTTACAATTCTCTCCCCCTCAGGATGATTCCGTCCCGGAATCATGCATCAGCAACCAGATGTGGATAGCGACTCATCATGCCACCCTCTGTTTCCTAGGTGAGGTTCGGCCCATTCGTATGTTTCCATTGCACAAGCACTAAGTCGACCATCTTGCGTCGCAACTTCTTCGTCTTACGGTTAATAATTGCCTCGGGCTCTTCGATTAGCCTCTTATTCTCATCCATCCTTAACTATGAAATTGGAATTATGTCGGGAACTTATCCTGTGAACTTCCTCACATGGAAGGTGTTATGAATACCATCTAGTCCTTCTGGTAATTCGAGCTTGTAAGCTTGGTTCCCAATTTTCTGAAGAACTTTGAACGGTCTAATAACCTTGGACTCAACTTTACTCTCTTCCCAAATCTTATAAGTCCCTTCTATGGTGAGACTTTAAGCAAAACCGAATCTCCTACTTCGAATATCATCAGTCGTCTCTTCTTGTCAGCATAGCTCTTTTGACTATCCTGAGCTACTAACACCCTTTCTCTAATCAATTTTTTAGATTCTCAGCAGTCTGATGGACTATCTTGGCGTCCATAAACTGCTTTTCTCCAGCTTCAAGCCATCATGACGGCGTACGACACTTCTGTCCATACAAAGCTTGGAAAGGTGCCTTCTTGATGCTTGAATGGTAACTATTGTTGTAGGAAAACTCTACTAGGGGTAAGTGCTCATCCTAGTTACCTTGGAACTCCAGGGTGCACGCTCTTAGCATATCCTCCAGTGTTTGAATCGTCCTTTCGCTCTGATCATCAGTCTGCGGATGGTAAACTGTACTTAAACACAAATTCGTACCCAATTCCTCTTGTAGACTCCTCCAAAACCTTGACGTGAAACGACTATAACGATCTGCTACAATAGTTAAAGGAACACCGTGAAGTCTTACTACCTCCTTCACGTAAGCGTTTGCAAGCTTATCCATAGAACATCTTTCATTGGATGCTATGGAGTGTGCACTCTTAGTGAACCGATCAATGACCACCCAAATCATGTCATGACCGTCCTTCGTCATGGGCAGTTTAGTGACAAAATCCATGGTGATGTCCTCCCATTTACCCATAGGGACAGGTAAAGGTTCTAAACTCCCATATGGTTTCTGATTTTGTGTCTTAACTCTTGCACATGTTACACACTCGGCCACATACTCTGCAACATCGAGCTTCATCGTCGGCAACCAGTAGTAGGGTTCCAGATCCCTATATATTTTAGTGCTGCCGGGATGAATCGAGTACATGGTCTTGTGAGCTTCTTCCATCAGAAAATCTTTTACTCCTCCCATATTAGGTACCCAAATCCTATCTTGGAATGCCTTCATTCCTTGACCGTTTGTACCAAACACTAACGTTTTGCCTAAACGTTCTTCTTTTCGGTCATTCTTCTCTGAAGCTTCTTCTTGAGCTTTCTTAATGCTTTCCACAATCGTTGAGACAACTTCTATTCTTAACGCTCTTGGCCTTTTTCTTTCAATATTTTCTTTTCGACTTAGAGCATCAATTACAACATTTGCTTTACCGG